TGAGACTGAACTGATGTGTGTGAATCGATCTTAGATGTTTCTCTCCTGTTTTATAGCAAATTCCACACTGAGTGCTTAACTCGTTGGTAAAGATACCTGAGGATAAGCCAACAGTTAATAATTAAGTCTGTGTACTTGGTAGATATAGTTTTTGATTTGGTAAAATAAGGAATAAATGGTTAACATCAATACACACTCTATACACACTGCACAGAACATACCTTCAAGTTTTATACAGTAAAATCTATGATGATAAATCTATGAATACGAATGTTGAATTTATGGGTCCAAATACGACTATTTAAAAAAAAAAAATATTTCATACATACAAATTTAATAAAAAAATTTATAATACAAAATATCTCTTGATGTTGTATTGTATTTGAAATTGAGAGCTACATAGATAAAAAAAAAACTAAAGAGTAATTGACAGTAAAAAGCAATTTTAACCTTCAAAGTATGAGATTTATAACAAGGTCAAAAGACTACAGCATTTGAGTGCAACATTTAACTGAAAACTCAACTTAAATTAACAGTCATAGAAGCTTTCCAAGAGCTTAACGTGGCATGAGCAAAGAAATGTACTGTAGAACATTTCATATATGGCAACACTCGATAACTAATGTTACATACTATTAACACTCAAAACCTTTTGATTCATCAAACAAAATAACAACCGTTAAAATGTCAGCATTCCAATATAAATACGATTACAACACCCCAATTACACACACTGTATCTACGACATAAGCCATGCTTATTATGTGACTGGACGACATAACCCGACTACAAACACAATGCTTTACAAATATCTCAATTAATGATAGTCAAATTATTTTGATTTAGAACTGAATACCATTCTGCAGAACGTTTAAACATACATAAGAATAGCATTTACTAAATAAGCAAGTGTTTACTCCTGTACACTGTTTGACAGAAAATGACTGTTAGTCAAAGCAGTATTGTTTACCTAGGGAACAGATTACATGTTAATTACTGTATAAGAGTGAGTTTTGGTAGAGACAAATTTGAATGACAGGATGGTTTTAGTTCAATAAACTAGTTTACACTAGTTTTATTGAATGAAATGCTTTAGATGGCATTTTTACAACATTAATTTAGCTCTCTTACATTACGGTATTTCACTTATATAAATTTAGTTCATAGTAAATTAATTAGACGAGCGTTATAAAATAAGCCAGTAGTGCCATTGATGAATAATTAGACTAGGTAAAAGTTTAAATAAGTGAACAACTGTTTTTTTATAAAACTTAAACTTGGTATGTAATAATCATAATCGTTGCATTTTTATTTAATTGCAAAAAAATATTGTCTTAAAATAAAAACAATTATTCTATATGGGAAGTTTGCTAAAAAACCATCATGAAATCTTTCTGACTGAACTAGGGACTGACTAAATAGTATACTTCATTACTAGGACCGAAAGTGGCATTTTCCATCGCGCGTTCAAGTTTTTGTAAGAGGCGAAGCCGAACATAGGGAACCCCAATTTCACATGCGAAGCAAAGCCGAGTATGTGAGAGCTATTTTCACGTACGAGGCAAAGCCGAGGACGGGAATAATGGAGGAAGTGCCGGATAATAACTTTCGGTACGAGTTATGAATGATACTTTTCATTACGATGCAAAAATACACAAACACAGATTAGCAGACCTCAGTAAAATCACAACTATTTTATTTCTCAATTAATTTGATTGAACATGAAAATAAAATAAAATCTTCTAAAAGGAAATCTACATATATTCCTCAATAAATTTTGTTTAAACATAAAAATAAAAGAATGAAACTACTTTTAACAATACATACAGCTGATTCAAGTCATTAAACCGTAACAACACTAGCCCGCATAGAGAATAAATGGAGAACTAATTGAGAGCGAGGGAAAATCAGCTAATCAATTCTCCCTCGCCCTAAATTAGAGCTTGGGAAACAACTACTTTCAGTCAGCTGTAATCGAAAATAGTTACTTTCGTTACGGAGTGATGAAAAGTAATTTACCTTATTGTTTTTTTCACCTTATTTAAGAATCTAGGTTCCAGACCAATAATTTATTATTCCTTCCACTTTAAGGATTCAGAAACTTCACACAAATTATTCATAAATAAACTTATAATTTTTAACTGTCTAATTTTGTAGGAATAGTCAGATTTGGATGAGATTCTGTCCTAATCAGTTATTGACTATTGGATACTGAAGTGAACGTCCCATCTATATGGACCAGCTGTCGCCAATGCGTTGCTAAGCCAGTCACTGAGGGTCTAAAATTCCATAGTCTAGTAGTTGCCATAGCTCACAAGCCATTCCATTAGTTAGACTTGGTAAACAAGTTTGTGTATTTGACAGAAATTAGTGATTTAGATCAGCACTATCTGTCAGTGACTCATATCAACAATGACAAATCTGATTTTAAAACTGGCGACAACGTTAATATGGGGGTGGAATGTCTAGTTGTATCAATAGTCGAAGGTTAAACTATTAGATTTTCTTTAGCCCTTTTGATGCTAGAATATTTTTTTTGTAATTTTCTGAAAAATGCTAGTTATTTACTTATTTTGTCCGAAAAGTGCTAGGCTTGCCACGGGGGCAAAGAATAGTGAGCGAGAAAAAAATGGGTAAAAATAAAATTTTTCATCTCATAAGTGCAAAGGAACGATACATCGGGCCTCGATCGTATGAGGAATCGAAAGAAACCCTCGCTATTTCGAAACAACAACCGAGTCAACCGATATGCTCGATTGAAAGTCACGCCGGCACGATACATCGTCGCTTATCGCTTTTCGGATGAAACGCGAACAGCGATATATCATTCTATAGCACGGAAAGGGTTAAATAAACCCAAAAATCAAAAGTATTTTAATGTCCCTACTGATAAAATTGCTATGAATGAATGAATGATGAGTAATCAGGAGTTAATGTTTGTTTGTTCATTGATTAATTTTAAGAAATGTCATTGGAAAATTAGGTGTTTGAATTTGTTTAGCAAAAATTCTGTAGTATTGGACTACAATTACATTTTATAATCTTCCTTGTTGCAGAAAACTTGTGTGAAAAATCAGCCTATTCATAGGGCATGATTCATATTATAATGAAATAACTCTTCCTTTGTTAGTTACCAAATTAATTCTCTGGAAAACTCTGTTGGACAGCTGCAAATTTGCTTGCTCTCCAATTTGATGTGATGGGCTTTCTTTCAGAACAAACCACTGCACATCTTAGGAAATTTTAAACTTGTAATGACTTGATACCAAAAAACTTATTTTCACCTGGGAATTCAAATGTAAGTTTTAGACGAGATGAAAAACATGGCTAAGTTGTCATACAATTACCTGTTCAACAACTTATCTATCTCTTTCAAATTTGGCCTTGACTTACTTTTTGAGGCAATTAAAAGACTATTTCATCACTAGGGTGTAAAGTGGCTCTTTTCGACCCAAGCTCAATCAAAAAAAGATAATTTTTGCCCATGTGATGTACTATAATTTTATTCAACTTGTTTTCAATTTTGTTAATGCAAACAAGTAGCTATTTATTTAGTGAATCAATAATTTTGACAATTTCCATAGTGTTGCTGTAAATTATACTAGGAGTACGCTCCGAAGTCGCGTATGAGAATGAACGAAGACAATTATCTGTCTATAGTCTTTGGCCCCTCTTATACCCCCCTGCGGCGCGCCGCAAGTTTATGCAGCGGCAGTGGCAGTGACATCCTAAAAGCCATAAGTGGTTGCTGGTTTTGTCAGGATTACCAACTTAGCGATTTCTATCCACCTTTAGATATTTGTACCTAGTGTAGAACTTGGAATAATTGAATAGTAGAATTACTCGGAAATGAATTAGACTGTTAACTTGAATGCAAAAATTAGCTACAACCAATTAAACCAATCGATGCATGCAATTGGGTACAATCGAATTTTACAACTGTCTTTACAACAGCTGACTTTACTCCCTAAAGCACTAAAAAGGCTTTTTACTCCCTAGGGAGTAAAAGAGCTACTTTAGCATGAGTTTTAGAAACGGCTGTTTTTGCTGCAGTATGACAACAAAAATTACTCCCACATCAGATTGTCTTCTTTAATACTACCCAGAATGAGTCCTCTTCAAAATGTGAACAACAAAGTTTCAAAAAAATCTATTCTTGAAACTTCTGTTTTTTTTGTTTTTTTTTTTTAGTAGCAAGTCATTCAGTTAAAACTCACCTAATTCCTATGTCTCAATAAATCGGACATCATGAGTGGCAGAATTCAAGTTCACTACATGGGTGAGTAGAACTGAACAGAAATGGCTTGATTTAAACTGCAACCTAGGTGGCAAGCCTAGATATCATTTCATATTTTTTAAATATTCATGAGCATTAGGTATGATATATTATAACCAGCAAAGCAATTAAGTGAATTTTAAATAGATATTATCAGAAAGAAAGATTTTTTTTAATGTTTTGATAAAATAATTTTAAAATAAGGTAGACATTTCTGGAGCTAATACCACTTAATTTTGGCAAGGTTTGATACAAAACCTACTTGGATACAAATCAGCCTTCGTACAAGCTTTGACTATTAATACGGTACAAGTAAGGCATTTTCAACTGAATTGAAAGCATACAAAAGTCAAATAGTATGTGTCAACGTATTTTTTACAGAGTAAATAAGAAGGGTTGTGAAATTCTTAAAAATTGACATTCGTGGTTTTCAAACAGTTCAAACACATATTGTAAAATGGTGAATCAATTCGCCACAGACTTAATGGTCAAAATATCGTTTGTTAAAATGTGTGGGTGTTTAAAAACAACTTTATCGTGTGTTAATATTGTTTATACTTATATTTGTGAACTTCTCTCGTTTTAAGTGGAGGGAATATACTAACATCAAATACCTTAGCCATGGCCAAATATAATTTTAGTTTGTATATTACGTCAGTACATAAATTTTTTTTATAGCAGTACAAAAAAATGTTATGCACTAAAATAAAAAGAAAAACTAAAATCAGCCATATAAAACATAGTTTATTTAATTTGATTTATCAATTACATTGTGAAAATTAAAAGAAAACATTGCTTTCTTTAGTGTTATTATTTCCTCATATCATTTTAAAAGTACAAGTACATTATTACCAATAAAACATGTACAAAATATTTACTGGAAGTACAAATATTGCCTCAATAGTACCTATTTAAAAATCCACACAAAGTATTAAAATAAATATAAACAAAATTATTTTGTTTAATATTCACAAATTATTACAAGCAATTAAGAGTGGATTTAAATAAATATTTCGTGCTGATAAAAATATGAATCATATAATACTACACTAAATTATACTTTTGTAATAACACATTTAAAAGTAAAATTTATGCGAGATAAAATCCAGATATGTGCAATGAAAGTAAAAATGAAATAGCAAAACTGATATATTACACAGTACCTTGTTCTTTAAGGCCACTTAATCTTGTCAAATCAGTTATTTTTAAATGCACCTACAAACAAAATAAAAAGAACCACCAACTAAGTTCCTGGGCCCTAATTTGACATGGTTTTATGATCACAGCAATTATAAGATAAAATTAATATATCCTGACTTGAAATGTATCCAAACAATTTATGATTTAAAAAATAACAAATTAAGACAATCACAAACGGTTTTTACAATAAATAATAAATAATATTTTTATTTTATATAAATTCTTTTTTATCATTCATCAGCAGATATTACAATAAATCGATATTGTTATAGTAAGGAGTTAAGGAAAGGCCAATTGGCTGATTAGGATTATTATGTACAAGGATAGGGATCAGCTAGCTTACCTGGTAGATAGAGTCCAGATTAGCCTTGATTACACATAAAACACATGGAGTTTTCTTTCTTCTCCCTTCTGATGAAGTCCCTAACTGGGACGAAATATTAAGTTTTTCTGTGTTGTGTCATGTGTTTTATGTGTAATCAAGGCTAATCTGGACTCTATCTACCAGGTAAGCTAGCTGATCCCTATCCTTGTACATAATAATCCTATTGTTATAGTAAGTCATTCAATTCAGTTTCAAAATTTTGGAATTATTGTAAAGCTTCGGATAATTATTTAAAGTTGGACGAGAGCACACCTCCTATTCCATCTAAATGACCTTGGAAAATTATGGCAATGCAAATCTTTTCAAGAGCAGTAAAATTAGAAGATCAGTCATTTGTCACTTTTCAAAAGTAGACATCTTTCAAGCAAGGTCGTCAATATTAGGTGTTCCATAGTTGTACAAGAGTCCAGGCACATTTCAATACTTAACTAACAATAATGGGTTAACTTTCAATTAATTAATTAAAAAAACAATTTTAAATAAAACCAAGACGTAGTAGATTATAAAATAGTTAAATAAGGTTTTATAAAAAAAAACAGATAGATTTTAATCTTCCACGCCAATAAAAGCTACGAGTCAACCGCAAAGAATTTCTAATATATTTTTACTTGTTTGATACAAACAAATACCTATTTAGCCAAATATAAAAACAAACATCTGTAAATATAAATATATATATTTAAAATTAAAGTGAAAATAAATAAACCTTTTCATGAAAGTTCAACTCAAAATAAAACAATTTGAAAGATGAATCAATTGTAAAGCTATAACAATAATTGATGAAAAGGCAAAAACTACGAGACCATGTCGGGCCATGAAGTTCCGTTTGAGGACGGCGAAGAAGAACCTTCTCCGGAAAAGCCTGTAACAAAAGTGAAAAAGTTAGAAATTAGACTTCATTTTTACTGATGGTAGTTCATTTGAGTTCATTTATTTAACATACACTCAGACATTAATACTCATTTAGTTATTTTTTTACAATTATTACACCAATAATTCTAATTTGAGCGGTTACTGCACCTAGACATAACCACTCATTTCTTTAAGTACAGGTTTCAGAAAAACTTGGCACAGTGCTAATCACTTCTAGCAGTAAAATATAGGCCTCTTTAAAACCAAGTACACATAGATGATTTGAAAATAAGCAATTTACAAACAGGGTAATTTCTGATGCTTAGGTGTAATTTATTTTGAGCTGTCTGAAGATACCAATAAAAAGAGAAAATAACTAAAAAAGTAGAGGTGTGCAAGCCTGAGATTTTCAAAAGAGCTGAGCTCAAGACGAGGAGCACACCTCTACTTTCTACTTATTTTCCCATTTTAACAGTAATGCTTGTGTTATCATATAGGCTCTATTGGGACATAAAAAAAATATATCGATCCCGAGTTTAGGTCTTTCTGTGCCACCTTCGGTAAACCTTCTTCCCTTTAGGAAAAATTTGCTCCAATAAAACCTAGATTTGTGTATAGCTGAATAATATTTATTTAAAATAAAAAAATAAAACAACTGAACGAAATACATACAAAAATGTAGGCTTACTTCAAAAGTAAATGTTGCGGCTTCTTAGCAATATGATGACAACATTATGGTTCACTTGCACTTCTTTATCAATAAAGAAAAGAAAATAATAAACAGAAGCTAAGACCATCCAGCCTTTTGAGGAGTTTTCAGTGGTGTAGGGAGTTGGGCGGAGTAAAAGGGGATAGACAGCTTTCAAGAACAAACTAAAGTCACTCTCTGCCAGCCTGCCCTTTAGGTTGGGCGCAGGTGTAGCGTGAATGTCTGCTTTCCATATTACTACCCCTGCTCTTAAATGTGCGTTAAACATTCTTGCGTAAAGATGTCTTATATTAACGGAATACAAGATTTACTAATCAACAAAAACCAAGCGGTTATAGAAGACAATTTTTATACATGGTAAAAAAAACAAACATAAATAGAGACGCTTCCACACCTCCAGTAGAAAGTGAATCAAATTAAGTCTACATAAAGAAAAGAGTGAAAGGAAGGACAATAATATTCCAATACAGTAACACTTTCATATAATTACAGTATTACAGTGAAGAAGCATACTTAGCATTGTACCTGGCCTGTGAGGTGAGGGTGAGGGATTGTTGCGGTATTGTTGTGCCGGTCCCCAGATCCTCACTGTGTAATCGTCACTTACTGAGGCCAACATTGAGTGGTAGACAGGGTTCCAAGCCACACAGTTCACTGTACGAGAGTGACCGCACAGCGTAGCAATGGGCAGTTCTCTCTTCATGTGCCACACGTACACTTTGTTATCTGCACAAAACGAACATTAACGTTGTAAATCAGAAATCAGAAATCAGAAATCCTTTATTGTCCTTAAGCAAAACAATCTTGCAATAGACATAGTCACATATTATGGTAAAATAGGGATACACAGTAACCCAGTCAGACTAGATTAATAAGCTAATATCACAGACAATAACAGGTAAAAATTTAAGAGTTTAAAAGTAAAAAGAAGGCTGTAGGCTGGGTGGAGAATATACTAGATAAACTATTAAACATCAAAGCTTAACAACTTTTACATAAAAAAACTCTTTAATCACATAAAAAGGATGTTCAACAAGCCAGTTGTATAGCCTATCTTTAAAAAAACTGTGGGAAATATGCCTCGCTGAAGCTGACCAAACGACGGTTAGTCTCATGATGTCTCGTGCATGAGCAGAAGGTAAGCCAATTTGATCTGAAACTCGCTGAGAGCAAAGAGTCGGTATGCTACAAGACATCTATGCGTGGTACTTGTATAAGGTATCGTAATAAATGGAGTAAGTTTGTTTTTATTTGGGGGGTTTTTATTAATTTTTAGTCAAAATAGCAGATTTACCTAAATGAGAAATAGTCCAAACTGGTACTAGAGACACCAAACTACACTAAATACACAAAACCTTCACTGGCAGCATTTTCAACTAAAGAAAAGAGAGTTTAGTTAATGTCCAATATGGTGGCCAGGAAGTTGTTGAAACAGTGTTCCCAATACAGTAGAGTCCCGATAGTCCGAAATGGTTGGGAACGGACCCATTTGGGATTACCAAATATTTCTTTAACAGCCAAAGTCCTGATGAAAAGTTTTTTTTTGTTTTTTGGTTCTCATGACCTCATGGTAAGATTAAGTGAAACTATTAGCAACACTGTCTCAACAACTCCCTGGCCACCATATTGGACCTCAAGTAATTCTCTTCCTTAGTTGAATATGCTGTCAATGACAGAGAAATATACTAATGTTTTATGTATGGTGTAAAGTTTTGTGTCTCTTGTGCCAGTTAGACTCTTTCCAATTATTTGTGCTCTATTGTACTCTATTGCTCTAATAACTTGTGCTCTATGTTTCATCCTAAATCGTCTTAAAATAGTTAAATTAACCTTCTTCCTTTCCTTATGATATAGAAAGTGGTCAATGACCATGAAATATTGAAATATTTCATATTGTGTCAATATATACTCGCCTACTGTACAGGTAAGCCAAAATCAAAATCAAACCTATTCTAGCCTAGAGCCCTTTAAACAGCAGCTACTCTTGTCCAATTCTGTACGGTCCTTCAAAATGCGGAATAATGCTTCCTATGAATTTAAATGGGATCGGCCACACACTCGTACAGTCTGGTACGATTCTCCAGGGAGCATTAATTTACATTTCGGCGGAGAAGAGGGAGCGGACCGAACAAGTGTAACCGTAGCTTTACCAAGAATAACTAATAATCTATTAACTATTACAGATAAAAAGCACAGTACTAGCGTCTAAAAACTCTCACCTTCACTGCCGCTGGCCACAAAGTCCTGGTTGGCGCCACCAAAACAGCTGTGTATTGTGAAGTGACCCTGTGTTACGCCCTGGAACTTGCGTACCAACACCTTGTCCTGCAAGTCCCACAGATGGACACCCTGAGTGGCCACGTTCAGTAGTGCCAACCTGTCAGCCTTGTTCACACTAAACGTCATCACCGGGTGATCCTCATGCAGGCTGGAACACAACGTACAACTGAGTATATGCATGTGTACAATTGACTGTTTGGAAAACTGATGAAAAGTTAAAAAAATTATGGAACTTGAAATTTTATAACTAATTTTTAGACTAGGTTTTCAGTAAGCTGATATACAATATAATCGTCAAAATTGCTGGTGGTAAAACATGATGTGGGTTTTTATATAGATATAAAATAACATAACACAATCTTGTAAAATCAATCGTCGGGTATTATAACATTCATTCATTCTTAAAACACCTAATTGGTTCAGAAAAGAAAATTATTAAATTTCAATTCAGTACTTCAGAAGTAGAGTAACAAAGCATAGTGGAAGAAACATGTGTTGCTGTTGGAGGAGGAGGTATTTAATACCCTTTATTATTACAGTATATAATGCAAATAAATTATTCCATTTGACCACAAAGCATGAGTGGAGTTTGTCCAGTAGGCTTACCGGTTAAGCTTTGAAAAATATTCTAAGTAGTCACATTTCCAGGGATATAGTCTAGGCATGATTTAGGCTTAATTTACTCAAAGTTTAATTTATGTACATAGGCGTAACATGCAAAAGGAAATATGCTAAAAACAATAAAAAAATCTAAAATATAATCATTTATATGTCAACACGTACCAACAGATGAAATCCAAAGAACAAAGTGAGTGATACTAACATATTTTGGTCGGTGAGCATGTCAAAGTTGTACGACCGCACTCTGTGATGTGTGTCTGCAGCCAAGACAGTCTTGCCATCCGAGCGACACCACAAACAGTTGACTCTCACACCTTCCCACGAGTCCACCACGTTCCCCTCGATATCCTGATGACAAAAACCAACAGTCAGCGACTTCTTTTGATTGAAAAGAGGTTGGTGGCCTGTTTCAACCTTGCATTTGTCCGTTTATATAGTCATTGAGCATGAATGGAATGTTTTAAGCTAAGTAGGAAAGCTGTTACAGTACAAGAGTGAACTGTACTGATACAATTTTGTGGCACCTAAGGGCAAACTCACAACACTGCTACCGATTCTTAGTCTGTCAAGCTACCGAAGAAGCCACTGCACTGACTCACCAAATGAAGTCAAACTGGTTACTTAACTACTTCTCCTCTCACTGACTCTCCACAAGAAGAGTACTGCAGATACCAAAAGGTCTACACTGCAGCCGATATATCTCATGATATTCATCTGATCATTTTGAGGAAGAGGTTGGAGTTTGCAAATTGCAAGGTAATATTGTGGCTGCAGCAAAACCTCAACATCGTACAAATTAATTTTCAAGCAGATACTCTTAGCATTCTATTGTTCTAAAAAGTGACGATTAAGGATTCATAATATTAGACAACATCTAGTGCGACGAGGTAACTGGTTAAAGCGATATAACCAATATTAGCCTTGCTCATCTTGTCTCTGCGACAGTGATATGAGGGACAAATCAACAAACCTGTTGCAATGCACTCATCAAACATGCTGGTGGGAGAGCATTTTAGAATCAGAATCCAAATTCTTTATACATATTGTATAGGGATGGACGAGATTGGATTTTTAGTTCGAGACGAGACGAGACAAGATTTTTTATTTCTCATAAAATTTCCCTTCTTATACACAACGGGAAATGCACGTTCAAAATTTTTACCTAATTTTGTAACATTGTTTGATGACAAAAATAATGATAATAGGCAAGAATATTTACAATCTTTTATTAAAAAACATCAGCATAACATTTTTTTAATTAATCACACCTAACTTATTAAAAATGCCTACGATTAAGAAACATAGTGATATCAGTTAGGATAGAGTTCAACTTATCCTAAAATAAAATAAATCATAAAATAAAAGCAATATTAATTTTTATAAAATAGTTACTTGTTTTGACTTTTTATAGTAATAAAACAATCCTCACACTGCTTACCCTTAACAAAACTTCTCAAATGTCATTAAAGTAATATTATTAAAATAATTAAAGTAATATTTACATTTAAGTAATTAATTAAATAAGAACGCCTTCGCAAAGGAAACGCAACTACAACACGCTCCTGTATTGCGGGTATTGCAGTGACTTTCTGCAGGCGTTTTTATTTATTTTTTTTTTTTCTCGTCTCGATAAAAATCTCGGCCAAAAAGAAATCTCGTCTCGTGTAACGAGATTTAAAATTTCCCGAAATTTCGAGACTTGACCATCCCTAATTGTACATGAATAGTGTCAAATGTCAATGTCAGACTACAACTAATTTCTATATATTTTTATTTCACTTTACAGAAAGGTAGAAATAACCTATACACCTGTAGTAAAACAGTGTCTGGTTTGGGTGAAGTTGTCGGCATTAAGTTAAATGGAATTGTGCTCAGCACCTGTTATGGTTCTTTTTAACCTAGTAGAGAGGACTCATTTTTTTTGTTAGCTTTTACTTTTTGTGTTGAAAGGCAAATTAAATTAAAACCTAAAAAACGGACAGTAATCAATCAGCAATACACAACCCTATTGTTGCAAGTGTATGTCTTCTCCACAGACTACTCACACACTGGTAGAATTGTCCGCGGATGCCGCCTGTGACAAACTTGTTGCCGTCGCGATGCCAGCTACACGACGTCAGAGAATCCTCAGGAGAGTGGGAGACTTTAACACGCAGCTCCTCCGTCTCGATGTTCCATATCCACAACTCGGGACAGTCCTCGGGGCCACAGGCTATCAGGTGAGACCCGTCAGGTGACCAGGCCAGGTAAGCTACCCCATACGAGTGGCCTTCCAGCGTCTTGCGGTGATGGCAGGTCAGGGTGTCCTACACAGGATTGTAATGTTGGATACTTAAGTAAACATCCATCTTTATAAACCGAATGATTCTGTTTTCTCCTTTAGTTTTTGTTGCACCAATAGTTGATGTTACATAAAAGATGCTGCTAAAAGTAAGTCATCCTTTCAGTTTGAGCAGTGGCAAAACAATTATTGTAAAAACGGATATTGATTGACATCTGCACACTCTGTTAGTGGTTTAACTAAACAATGTTCATATTTTTTCTGGTTAAAGCTTAACATTGGAATGGAATGTCTAGTTCCTACTCATAATCAAAGATGATATCCAATGGAACACACTACTAGGGGAAAACAATAATAGGGCACAAGGGGCCTGAGATTTAGTGATTATTGGGTTTCCTGAAAGGAGAAGAGTCCACCCTAAGACTAGAAAAACAAAAACATTTTAGGTTTTTTTCATTTTCACTGGCAGAATATTTAACAAGGGGAGATTTTAGTTACGAAGATAGATATAGAACTCTTCAGTCCTGTGGATTAGCTGTCATATTATTTGTTAAAAAAATTCCATATTAACAGCACTGAGCTATTAATTCCATAAAATAAAAAAAATATTTTTTTCATCATTCAAAGCTTTTGATTTTGTTACTTTCTTGACTGTGTATCACATTTGATTTTGAGCTTGCAAAGCCTCAGTTTCAGCCTTCGTTTGAAAAAAATATAATGTGTTAATATTTGCTTGTTTTTGTAGTTGAAACAAAATGACGAAGCAAGATATACAAGGTTTACAAGAGTTGAATATGATTATATAATAGCAATTAGCTTACAGGGTCAACATCCCAGATGATGACAGTTGTATCTTTGGAGCCAGTGGCAAGTTTGCGACCGTCTGGAGAAAAGCGACAGTACCAAACTTCGTCACAATGGTCGTTGAGCACTTGTAGCGTTTCACATGGAAATTGTTCTCTGAAAATAAAAAGAGATCTGTAGTAAAAAAGTATTCAAAAGTCAGTATTCTTGTAATAATAGAAAAAACTATCGGTGAGTGTAAAGCGACAGTTGGTTAAAAACCGACTGTGCATGCCCTTTTACTACTGATGAACAATGTATTATTATTCCATGATTTTGAGAACTGATTATCTTATCGCCGGACAACTTGTAGGGAAGGCAGGGAAGGGGTGTTAACAACTCCAAGGTCAAGATAGTTTTTGTGCCTCGAGCCTCCAGTGAGAGGCTATAAATAAACGTCCTTGTCTTGTAACAAAATGGTTGCTTGTATCTTTAATGTTGACAAAAGTTTCTGTACTGTATTACGATGTATTTGGAAAGCATCAATTACAGTAATACATTACAGTACTAAAGTTATTAAAATATGCATTTTATTGACTCTTGCCTAGTATTATAATATATTCCACTGAAAGTAGGCCTATTTTACTTAACCGTGTTTTGTGTTTATTTGTGACTTTTCTATCAATATGAAAAAGGAGATAAGAGTAGTTTATTTTATAAATAATGCAAGTATGACTTCAAAATAATGATTATATAATTCCAAATGAATATCACTTCATTATGTTATGATTTTAGGGATTGCCTGTTTTATCCGACCTTTTGAGTTATCCGACCTAGGTCCGGTCCCATTAGGGTCGGTTAAGAGGGGGTCTACTGTATATGGAGCTATAAATTTTTATTGAAAACTAATGGATAATTCAAATTGATTAACACATATTTGTAATGTCAAGGTATTCATTACACAGGTTCTGTTTCTTAGTATTGTCATTCATCTACATGAAACGAATAATCTATTTAAATTATTTTCTTCAGTATGACAAAAAACAAAGGCAATATTCATACTTTGAGCAGTAGTGGTCGGTGAGTAGAGATACACTTTTGAGACCCAAGTCATCGCTTGAATTGTGATAAGGGCAGCGATGTTTTTGTAGCTCGATTGCTTGGTTCAGGAGTGTGTCTAACCTGCAAACATGATATTATGTTGCTATAAACATTTCTGATTCTAGAGCCTATTAAATAATGAAATGAAATGAAATGAATAAGTGCTTTATTTACAACATATTGATTACATTCACAGGTAAAAAATTACACTTTATCAAACAATGGTTAAATAACCGTCTGTTCGGTTGGCACTTAATTTTAAAACTAACACCTATTAAATAAATAAACATGTTTAAATAAACTGTACTGTACTGACATGCAGAGAGAAATTTAACCCATTGACAAAGACTTGCGTGAGTAACACGTCACCGCATTTCGTGGCGAGATAGTACTACTGCTAACCCACTGGTCCTCAAGTGACCTATGAGAGCTAGTGTCGTCGTGTGCTTATAGTGGCAATCGACATGTTCAACTGACAGTGGCATGGTAGCTCACTTGGCTAAGGCGTTGAAATGACAAGTGTAGCGTTGAGGTCTTTCTACATGTGTAGGTTCATATCCAGTACATGTGCAATCCAAGGTGAGCTTGATAGTGTGTGGCTTAGCTGGCGGGAGAGGCTTAAATAAATGTTGTCCGGCTTGGGAGGAAGTTGACGGCATTAGCAAGTTAAATCAGGATTGCACACAACAGCCTGTTTCTTCTTCTTTTTACATTGTATAGAGGAGGAGGACATAATTTTTCTTGTTTGAGTTATATTTTGGTAGAAATTTTATATATTGTATCGAAATACATATGATAGGAGATATAAAAGAACATAACTTAAAAATAAAATTAATTATAGGGAAATTAGAAAATCTGGCTATATTGTGTTGGATAAGGAGTTTTTTTTCTTTTTGATAGTAGAGCAAATGGAAATAGTCTTACTAAAATTATTCATCCTATCTAAGTTTCTACATCGAGGTGAACTCAATAGAATCACACAAAGCCACATAATTCCAATGATACAGGGAGTGTATGACATTTCTTATAAAGAAATAGAGTTTCCCTGGAAATTCTCGGGAACCTTGTGATAAAAAAAATTTCATGGGTCAGAGGTCATACATTACTTTATTTGTACAACAAATTTGAACATTTACTACAAATTCTACAAACAAGTTCTACAAATATTAGTTATAATATAAAATATTCCGTTAAGTTTGGGGACCATTTGGGGCCCCACTGAAATATCGGGGACTTTCCTGGGATATTAAGGATGTCCTGGAGGTGTAGAAGTACCGATTCAAACCATTTTTGTGCAGCCTATTTGAATTCAAGCAATTTAAAGAGAAATGTGAAATCTTACTGATAAAGATAATGAAAATGAACATTTGAAAGTACCTCTTTGGCGGCAGCATGATTGTAGGTGGCAGAAACTCTTGCAGTTTGTCCATAAGTGAAGTGCGAGACTTGCTTCCCTTTCCGTCCCAACCAGTCCGCATGAGCAGCTCTTCCCGCTCACTGCACATCATATAACTGCAACAAACAACATTTCCTCAAACAAACTCTGTTTGCAACATTTAAGCAAAATTTCCAATATAGGTCTATCAATCTATTACCGTAGGTCTCGTAATAAGACCCATACCCAGGACCCTCATTTTGTTGTCCCCAGAGGCTTAAAAAAACATCCATTCAAATTAATATTTATATGAATTAATTTTTTAAATGACTAAATTTTTTTCTTGTTGTCTATGCTGGTGGAATTTTCCACCTGCGTATTGCATAGTACAGAAACTCTAACTCCAACTCTTTGAAAGAAAGTGTTCCAAATCCTGTAATAAATTAAAAATTGAATTTGAAATTTAGAATGTTGTACCAATGAATACAGACATTAAAACAAGCAAAATGCTTGTGGAGAAGAGTCAAGACCAAAATTTTACCGCTGAAACGAGCTTTGTGTGGCTGCCTCTAGGAAGCGCTTGCACTGCGGCCACACTAATCTATCTGTCTGTCTAAGTTGATTCTTTGTCTCACTCTCTCTGATTAAGTCAGTTGACTTTTAGCCGCGCGCTTGCGATAGTAGTGCCTTAGGAACCTAGCGGCCGCCGCGGGAACCAACCGAAATTCAAATATTCCCAGACTGAATTTTTAACAAAGGAATTGCGCTTCTTATAAGGTTTGTATTCATTGGTTATGCTGAAAGATACTTTGTTCAACAACAAAAAATTGTTTGTGGAAGTTAATAAGCTCTTGCTTGTAAAGCGGTTTTGTTTTTGTATTATTTATTAAATTTCTTAAAATACCTCAACTAAATTGGACACCCTATAGTCAAGTACATTATAAGGATTTATAAGATTAGCCTACTTCTCTTGGCTTCTAGGCTACAGTTAAATGTTGGTATTCCAACACGTTAGAAACCCTCTTGTGAAAGTCAGATTATCGAGAGTCAAGCTTATATCCAGGGAAAAATTTAAGATTGTGTTTCAGCTCACAGACTTTTAACACTTGACCTCATGTACATGTTAAGATTCACCTGCTTTGCTAAATGTCGGTTTATAACTATGTCAACAAACCTGGACAGCTCATGCACACGTGCTGTGTTGTGCTGCAGTGGAGTCAGCTCGTTACGCAGCACGTGCAGCGCGTCCAACACTCGTCCATCCTCCAGGTATTCCAGATACTTCTGCTCCAGCAGCAGAAACTTCATTTGCTGAAAACCATACATTTTACTAGCCCTAGATATTGAGTAAAATTTTACACATAGGCCTCGGTAAACGTTAATCCACATACGTTTCTTTTCACCATGACATCTTGTCTTGCATCGCTATTTCATTCAAATCACTTTATTCAATATACATATTGTTTTGTACATGAATGGCATAAAGACTAAAACTAAAGAAGAATTTACACTAGCCTACACAGCGCATAGTTGCTAACTATAATCCAAAATTCAAAATATTACAAAATATCATTTAGAAAAAATAAAACAAGTTAATAATGACAAAGTAAAAATACACACATATTTGGGTAATCCCCCTTCAGCAGAATCAGTTAAGAAAATCAGGTCAGTGACATTTTCAAAGTTTAAGATCTGTTAAAATTTTAATTTCATGTGGTAAGTTGTTGTAAAATTTTATTCCAGCATAAGCAGGTTGTTTTGAATATAGACTAGTTCTAAGGCGATTCAGTACAAAATCGTTTTTATTTCTCATTGTTGTAGCAGTGCACATTTTCTAATTTTAACATTTTCTAATTTTTTTCTCACTATTCCGTCAATACTATCAGTCACTGTGATAGATGTGAATAATTGTCAGTAATGTGCGTGGTGCAAATCTATATATATAATACGTGAAGCCGTTTTTTGTTAACGCAACTCCTCCCTTATTTGTGGACCGATTTCAACGTTTAAAGTGTCAACAGATTCGTTTCAATATGTAGTTTTGCAATAAGGTTTTAGAAATTTAAAACTCCTACTCTTAAGGGCGTGAGACCCTCTCAAAGGTCGGGTTTTCCCCATAAGAAATACATAGAACAAATTTTAAAACAAAAAACAGCTGTTTATAAAAAGAAAATACATTAGTTTTTTGGGAGTAAATATTAATGTTTATAATTATAATATTGAGTAGGTTAAGGCCAAGTTAAACAGCGCTAATCAGTTTTGTTGGAAGAACAGAAAATGTCTCAAGTTCAAAGAAGAAATATTGAAAAAGGGAGGAAGAGACAATTAATAATAAGATTTCTTATGCGTATGAGGATAGTAGAAAAAGAGAGGCGTGGTCTAACAGATACCCATCCAGATACACATTCACTTAGTGAGATGTAGTAATAGAGATCGATGAGTGAGATGAATAATATATGCCAGTTCTGCTATGCAACTTACTTTGGAAGTGAAAAAATATACGAAGCACATAGTGTTGTCACGGTGGTAAAGTAAACTTGCCTAATGTCAGATGAAATAATGCATGCAAGAAATGTTTACTTCTGACCCTGCCAGATCGAGATATTTCAAAACATTTAGTAGAAACTATAATAGTGCCTCGACTATGATAAGTTCAAGTAGTAAGATTATACCAAATCATGGTAGACCTTTTGCTTTTATTGTAAACTTTGTATTACTTGCTCTACTCCAGTTGAGAAAAAAAAGGAAATGGATTGTTTACTTCTAGGTCATGTTGCCAGTTCCTCGGACAAACTTATACAAAGTTTTTTGACTGAATTCACCAACACAATCCAGACATTTAAGTCCAAAATAAGAAGTTTCAAAAACTCATTTGCTATTGAAAGTTTTAGTGGCAATATTAGACCAAACATAAGTGAAGGAATCAGTGTTTATGTATTCAACGATCGAGAAGTTACGGTCAAGTTTATTTTTCTGATTCAGGAGAGGCAAATAATATACGCTGTTCAAAAAGAGAAAATGTAAATTGCTATCCAAATTGTATGGCTACAAGAGTTATCCAACCTATTTCGAAAACGAATCCATACTTTTAAAACTTTGGGACAGGTATTAAGAGAAACTCCACTAAACAATGTGAGACTGACAGACAAAACGTTAAAATACGATAACCAACTTCCAATGGTGTTGCTGCTTTAGCCTATTCAAAGCAGATTATGGCTGTCCAATTGGTAACCAAGAGTTTGTGGATAAAAATGGAACACATGAAATGGTTGATATCACCCCAATTTTCAGGATTCTCTACGAAGAAAATTCATTTGATTAGGGGGATGTCTCAAATCAAAGAAATAAAATGGCCCAACTTAAATTACTTAACACAGGTTATCAGTAAGGCAACAGTTTTATTCAATTCTCAATGCTGGAAAAACTTTGTTGCAACATGTTAAATTGAACAACTCCAAGTTGTAACTACAATCACAATGACTCAAATTTTAGCATAACGTTTTCCTCGGTGTTATGTTTCATACTATGCGGCTCATTGAGCCGCACGGGTTCTCTAGTTTTTTAATATTTCATGTGAGCTCTCACTGTCTGATGTAGTGATGCCAATTATGTTGACTATTTTGTATCTATGAAATAAATATATGGAAAATTAAACAAGGTAAAGCGATAGAATAGATAACTTGACCGTGGTTTTCTTCTCCTAACAGTCACAGTAGCAGCATATTGTCAGCAAGTGATCATATGTTTATAAAAAAGTCATCTATGTAGCAAATAAATTATGATTATGATTCAAGGAAAATCTTGGTACACACTAAATAAACTCTTTTTCAAATGCATTAAATACAACAACCAAACTATGTATGTTTTTCATAAGTTACAAAAATGTATAGGTACATTTGAAATTAATGTTACAATAATTACAGTGAATGAGTGAATTGAATTCCAAAATCGTAATGTTATCTAGTGTTAACATGTTAATGTGTTAATATCTAGTGTTAATAAGTTATGTGCCAAAGCTAATTCAAACACTTACTTGCTTTGGAATACAACCCTTTTGGAAATAGAACACAGATTGAACATCAGACTTTTAAAGTAAGTAAAATCAAGAATTATTATTCAATATGCTTTTTATTTAAATCAGCAGCAAAACTAAACAATGTCTTTTTCATACTTCTTTTTTGCACCTCATGATGCAATTTAGTTAGGCTACTTATTTTATTTGCACCTACCTATACAGCATAACTAACCTTTAATAATTTTAGTCTTTTTATTGTCTATAAACATAGCTGCTATGTTCAATGATATAGCTGCTCGTAGTGTTGAGCTGGCCCAGCTAAAATTAAACCGAGTCATGCAAACTATAAACGCATGGATGGCAGATCACGGTCTCTCTCTCGCGCTGAACAAAACTGAGATCGTGATTCTGACAAAAAAGCGGATTGACACCATTGTGCCGTTGAGGGTGGGGGACGTCGAAGTCCAATCTGTTCGCGCCGCCAAGTATCTTGGTGTCATGGTGGACTCTAAGCTTAGCTGGCGGGACCAGATATTCTGAACGGCGGACAAGGCCGCTAAGGTGATCTCTTCTCTTAACCGGTTAATGGCCAATGTCGGAGGTCCTCGTTCCAGTCGCAGAAGGCTGTTGATGTCTACAGTTCAGTCTGTGCTCCTGTATGGTGCGGAAGTGTGGGCAGACACGCTCAATAAGGAGGTGTATAGGATGCGGCTTGCCAGAGTGCAGCGTCAGGCAGCACCCAGGGTAGCATCCGCCTACCAAACAGTGTCTGAACCTGCCATCTTGGTGGTTGCTGGAGTAATCCCCGTCAAACTTTTGGCGGTGGAGAGGAAAGCGATTTATCAGCGGCGCGGAGAGGACCATGCAAAAACGGAGGAGCGCAACCGCACCTACCAGCTCTGGCAGGAGAGCTGGAAACAGGAGTCGCGGGGACGCTGGACCAAGAGACTGATTCAGCAAGTCCAACCATGGGTTGACCGACGGTGTGGTGAGGGGGACTATTACCTTACTCAGTTTCTGACAGGCCACGGGTTTTTTCGGTCGTACCTGTTCAGGATGGGCAAAGCCGTGTCACCCAATTGCATCTACTGCCCAGGCACTCCCGACGACGCGGAGCACACCTTCTTCCGCTGCCAGCGTTGGGAAGGTTCCCGTCTGGAGACTGAACAACATGTAGGGCAGTTGTCAGTAGACACGGTCATTCCGATGATGACGGAGGGTGAGAACAATTGGACCTGTATGTCACATTTCGTTCAGGATATTCTCCGTACAAAGAAGCTAGAGCTTGACCGAGATGCAGTCTAGGTCATAAAGAAATTGAATGCCAGAAACGGCGCGAGCCCTGAGGGCTTAGGTCACACGTTGACCTGACCTGAAGTAATGTGTCAAACAATCCCAGGTCTGTGTCCAACAGAGTAGAGGGGGTTTTTAGTGAGTAGTCTGACAAGCTCAGGAGTCTCACACTACAGGCTGGCTACCTGTGTGCGTAAAAGCATTTTTACCTCCTCTCCCTAAAAAAACAAAAAAAAAAACAAAAATTGTCTATAAACAATAAATCCTACTGACAGGAAATTTCTAAAACCTTTCAAGAAATCGACACCTGATGTTTACTTACGGATAAACTGTTTGATGAACCCTCCAACAAAGACTTCAGCTCGTTCAAGTCATTGTCAGCCTAAAAAAAACAACAAAAATATTAAAATATTACAAAATTAGTAATTATAAAACAAAAGTAAACAAATTGTTAATTGTTTAATTCTGTTACGCAGGGTGTGGCAAAAAAACCGATATATTTTCTGCAGCGCACTGTTCAGCGACAGGTTGTCTGAGACTGTTGGGGTTAGGCTTGTTGGAAAGCCTACAATCTGCCATTATCTGTAGTCATAGACCAGTGGTCACCTGAGCTACGCGCGTATATTATCGAGTCGTATTTAAAAAGTAATGATTCAGTCATTGAAACTCAGCGGTAGTTCCGTGCATTCTTTTAATTAGGGCGACTTGGAGAAGTACCGTTGCGTAGCACAATCATGCGACGGGTTTCTAATTTTAGAACAACGGCTTCTGAATTCAAAAAGAAGCTGATAGGCCATCCAAAGTCAGATCAGACACCAGACAACTAACATTTGATAGAATTTGTGTTGCTGTAGAAAACAGTCCTCTTAGGTCCGCCTGATAACAAACGTCTGATTTGAAAAAGTGTGACCGGTTACATGAATTTTGAGGTTCGATCTTAGTTTTCATCCCCATAGATTGTTGGACAAATCTGTTTAATTTTATTGATTATCCATACCGTACAGATAATCATGACGGAACCTATGTTGACCCAATTGAAAGAATGCATGGAACTGTCGCTGAGTTGTAATGACTAAATCACCCCTTTAGTTAAACGACTCGATAACAAACGCAAGTTGCTCAGGCGACCACTGCTCTATGACTAAATAATAGCAAATAATAGCAGTGTGTAGGCTTTCCAAATAATAGCAGTGTGTAGGCTTTCCAACAAGTCTACCCCCACCACTCTCAGACGACCTGTCGCTGAACAGGGCGCTGCAGAAAATAGACCTTTTACCTGCCCTTTATAATTCGTTTGCTGAACCCTCAAACAGAGACATTCAAGTCATTGTCAGCTAAAATACCCCTGCTTCAGCAAACCTGCCGACTAAGCGAATTTCCAGTTGCCTGAATTGATTTTCAATTAAATGTATTTTAATTAACATTAGGTTTTATGAGTACATAGGCTTCCTGCTACAGGGAGGGTAAAAAAAGTGTGTTTTTTAGTAAAATATTAATAACTTAGTATAACATAAATAAATTTACCAAGTTTGATCAAAATACATCCACAAACAAGCAAAACTACAACATTTTAATGGGAATTTTAAAATAACAATTATTTGAATTTCCTGCGTAACCAATAATTGTACAAAAACACTTTGATATACTAAATTGTTTGTTTTTTGAGCCCTGCAAAATGGATTTGAAATGAATTGCAACATTTCAGCGAATTTCCCTATAGGGATGTAGCTATTACCGTAGGTCTCATGGTAAGACTTAGGCCCGGGACCGATTTACTTTTTCATTTTGATGTCCCCAGAGGCCAAAAACACCATTCGTTCAAATTTGTATATATGTATATAGATTTATATATATATATATATATATATATATGTCCATGAACACGATAACTTGAGTAATTTTTATCCGATTTTGATGAAATTTGGTTTGAAGGTGTAAGGCGGGATAAACTTGAATGAGTTCGCGATCCAGCATGATCGGACCATGGGAACAGGGTTTTATGGGGTAAAAATTGGTTTTTCTCACTTTTGACTCTCAAAACACAAAATTTCCCAATTTTTCTCTAAACCTTCTTAAAGAGCTTAAAAAAAAAACAATTCAGTATATCAAAGTGTTTTTGTACAGTTATTGGTTACGGAGAAAACTAAAAAAATGGTAAATATAAAATTCCCATGTTATTCTTATGGAGAATATTGTAAAATGTTGTAGTTTGCTTGTTTATGGATATCTTTTTATCAAACTTGGCAAATATATTCATTTTATACTAAGCAATAATTATTTTACTTAAAACACACACTTTATTAGATTCCTTGTAGCAGCAAACCTAGGTATTCATAGGTATACCTAGGTATCTATTTAAACCTAATGTTATTTAAATAGATCAATTGAAAATCAATTCAGCCAAATGGAAATTTGCTTAGACGGCAGGTTTGCTGCGGCGGGGGCATTATGTTTTTAGTGTCAAAAATGGGAAAAAACCATTTTTTACCCCATAAACTCCCCCCCCCCCCATTAACCCCCGTTTCCATGGTCCGATCATGCTGGTTCCTGAACTCGTTCGAATAAATGTTGGCTTAAAAGTTTGTATTAAATTTCATTGAAATCGCATCATTTTTGCTCGAGTTATTGTGCTAACGGACTGACACACACGTCATATCTATATATACATAAATATGAATTTGATCGGATGGTGTTTATGGCCTCTAGGGACCTCAAAACAAAAAAGTAAATCGTTCCCGGCTCCAGGTCTTAGCATGAGTACTACTTTCAGTTGACAAATAATCGAACATCATAGCAATGTAGGGCCTACTCGTTCTTTGTTATAATCAATGTTAGTACTGCGGAAGCAAACTGGACACCACAACTAGAAAGGCACGAGATACAGTCACAATAAGAATGAACTTTTAATATTGTACAGACATCGGTCGAACACTTACTATTAGCAGTGTCAGATTAAAAAGAGAGTTTAGACATTCAAGAGTCAACTGTTATGTGTTTTTTGTGAGAAGAAATTGCAATGACATCATAATTAAGTTGTATAGAAAAATTAAATTGTATGTGTAAGCTCATTAGTAATTAGGTTTCAATAGAAGGCCCATGATCCTATTCCCCGTTCCTCAGCAGATGAGTATCCGTTACGATAAGGTAATCCTACACATATTGTAATTATGAATTAAAAGTAGGCTATACCTTAATAGATTGACAAATGTTAAATTCTGATGAATCGAACAAAGTTCACAAACCTTATTCCAGTCACCGTCCATGACATGCTGACGGAATTTGGCAGCGGCCGGGTGATCAAGGCGGCAACCTGACTCTTGAATCAGCACTTCAGCCGTATGACTGCAAAACAATTAACATAATTTTATCATTTTGACTCAAACTATCTTTACCAATAGAAACAAAGAAACAAATAGAAAGATAGAACAAAATATACAGGTAACCTTAAAAAATAAAACCACATTCCAAAGGCGAAACAAAACCATTTTAGACATTGCATTTAATTTCAATAAAAGAAAGTGACATAGGTTGGTGGTCGCTTCTAAAAATTTAAGTCAAGAAAAAATATCTTAATAACCATACAGCACAAGCAGTGTACTGATTGAATTTATTAATGATGTTACAGAGGCTTTGGTCTGAAACCTAATGCTTGTGTTTTCCGTGACTTGTCCAAAGCATTTGATTGTGTGGATCAATCAATTTTGCTTTCAAAGTTAAAAGACTATGGTGTAAAGGTTAAATGTTTTTCTTTATTTGTGGACTCTTATTAGCTTAATAGAAAGTAGGCAATAGAATATTAGGTAACAAAAATTGTGTGAAACATATGTCAAACTGGAATTTATTTAATTATGGTGTACCTCAAGGGTCAATATTGGGGCCTCTTTTTTCCTGAACTTAATTAATGACCTTGTAAAAGCTATTTGCAGGAATTTAATCTTATTTGCTGATGATACAAGGGCAATCATAAGAGAGGATTCAGTAAACAACTTAATTGTATCAGTGGAAAATACTTTGGATTATATGAAAAATTGGTTTTCAAACAACGGTTTGAAATTTACAAAACTCATAAAGTTAAATATCTTAAAAAAATAAACAGTGCAATTTGCAAATTAAAGTTTATGGAATAATGTTTAAATTTAAATTAAATATGTTTATTTATCCAAATTTCATTACAGAAAGATAAATAAAACATATAGCAAGATTATAGCTAGTACAACATTAATTGTCAGATAAATCTGCCATACTTAAAGGCCTACATGGGCAGGTGTCTGTGCGTAGGCCTGGTTATCAATCTACGTAATTTTAAGGGCAAAAAAACTGTATATGGGAAAGATTTGTTTAAGCCTTAATTGTTTGAAAGAAAACTTAAATGCGGATGAGAAAATGTCAGCGACAACAACTAAAGCCAGTTCAATCACCAGAAGACATTTAGAGGGTGAGGGGGTAGAAGGGTCAAGGATTTTTGGTAAGAGTCAAGTATGGTGTGGTCTAATCAAAGTCTCTGGCCTCTTCTTTGGCAATGGTGTGCAGTAAAACAAGAATACGACTTTTGAATTTCTGTAATGAGGGTAAACTAGAAACTTGTTGAATCATATTTTTGAAATAAATGTCGATAGAGAATCTGAGCAACATAAAAACAGTTGGTTGGTAAGCTAGTTAGAACTGATTTATGTAGCTGAGGTACAGATATTCTAACATTGTGTGAGTACCGGTATCTGGTGAGGTGCTGATGCGTAACTGCTGTAAGAATCGTGTTTGAGTTTTCGAATGTGTGATTAAGAAGAAACTGGATGAAAAGATGTCTGACCGGTAATGTCTCACTGAATAGAGCGTCAGTGGAGTACCTTTTATTTTTTCTAAAAGCAACTTTCAAAATTGCCAAGGTGGTGTGATAGCATGCTACCCAGCAAATAATTCCAAATGAAATCAAGGATTGCACATAAGCGAAATAAGCTCGCTTTCCGTCATCCTCATCTAAAATTTCACTCAATTGGTTAAAAGCATAGATATTTTTACGAATATTTTTTTTTCAAGATATCTACATGCTCTGTCCACTTTATTCGGTAGTCAAAATAAACACCCAAATATTTATAATAATCTAATCTTTCAATGTATTCACAATTACAAGATAAACTGTTATAGTTGCCGCAGCCATTAATCGTCAAATTGTCTAGGCTATAATCAGTGCTGATACTGAGTGATATGAGAAGAAATTTAGGTCTTGAAATTAGAAATTTAGAAAATAGTTGTTGTGACGCAAAGCGCACGCTATATTTTTTATAGTGTGGGCATTCACGAAGCCGGGCTACATCTCAAGCTCTTAACCTGCCGCGACTGCAAGAACGCCCACCCCCCTCCCCTCCCCTACTTCCTTACCGACTCTCGCCCTCTTCCAAAAAGTCCCTTGTCCTAGCAACTACGATCCAGCATCTCCGTTACTACAACCGGCTAAGTTTTAGATTAAATGTTAATTAAGGAATAGATGGATAAATTAAAATGTCTGGCTAAATTAGGAAGCAAGCGGGGAACCCAGAAGGGTATTTGAGATGTAGGAATTAACGTTTAAATGGTTCGATGTGTCTCACATCGGACCATTTCAAACATGATATTAAATTACATGTCCCCAGATTGTTCTCCACATTTTCTCAGTTACATTCATAGATATTTCCCTTTCAGTAATTAAGTCTCCAACCAAATTCATTGACTCAGCAGTATTAGCAACCAATTCACCATTTTCAGTACTTAGTGTTTGGAAGGATGTATTTAGGTATTTAGTTCAATTAGTACAAATAAATCAAGGCTGGCTAGCGAAGTGTTCTGATCTGGGTAAAAGATCTCCGTCCCTCTGGTCCCCAGCAATCTTCCATTTTAACTTAATTATTGGTAGCAGATTCAACCCGCTTAAATTTGGTACAGATATAGCAATTCTATACCCGTTAACATTATCCCACAGGTAGAAAAGATAAATAATTGGTTTCAGCAATATGACATATACTTTCTCCCAATAGCTTGTCAACAACCTTTATCATGGGTAAGCTATGGGAGTAACTATGATATTTTATAGGGAAAAATCACAAACGTTGCAATAAGTTCTAAACCGTAATTGTTCCCGGTACAGCAATGGGGGATTACACTACAGTAGGCTATTTGGTTTAGAATTATAAGAACCACAACACATTAATTTTAATCAAAACATGTTTTTTCCCTAAAATACAATTTTGTTTTTATTTATGGGGTTTTATGGGAAAATAACATAATTTACAATAACTTTTGATCCATATTTTTTACAGAAATGGGAGTTATACAATTTTTTTCAGAATTTGGAGGGCTTAACAACATACTAAATTTTTATCAAAACCGTTTTGACTATTTTTGAAAAAATTTGACTTTTCCGTTATTTTACATGTTTTTATGGGAAAATCCAAATCAAAATTTCAAAAAGATTTAAAAAAAACACCCGGAGATACCATGGATTAGTAAAAGAAAATTTGTCAGAGGTGGTAAAATTAACACATAATTACAATACAAGGAATAAAAATAATTTCAGATTACCAAATCACAAGTTGATAATATTTAGAAACAGCCCTCAATACATGGAGCTAAGATTCTAAAACAAATTTGTATCTAAAAAATACCCCCGCCGCAGCAAACCTGCAGACTAAGCGAATTTCCATTTGCCTGATTGGATTTACACTAAAATGTCTCCTTAAAAATATCACATTATTTATCCCTGTTTAAATAGAATCACTTTAACACATACTTAGGTTTGCTGCAACAGGGAGGGTAAAAGTGCTTTTTTATGTAAAATGTTAATTGTTAGTAAGAAATAAAAACATTTTCCAAATTTGGGCAAAATATGTTAATAAACAAGCAAACTACAACAGTTTACTTATTCTCCATAAGAATAACATGGGAATTTTAAATTTACAATTTTTTGGAATTTTCTCCATAACCATTAGGCGCATTATAACGCTTCAATATACTAAATTATTTGTTTTTTTAAGCTCTACAAAATAGTTTAGAAAGAAATTGCAAAATTTGATGTTTTTTGGGTCAAAAATGGGAAAAACCCATTTTTACCCCATAAAACCCCCCAAAAACCCCCGTTCCCATGGTCCGATCATGCTAGTTCGCGAACTCGTTTGAATAAACGTAGGTTTACACGTTTGTACCAAATTTCATCAAAATCGGATCATTTTTACTTGAGTTATCGCGCTAACGGACACATATATATATAAATATATCTAATATATAAAATTCTCGTGTCACAGTGTTTGTCTGCAAACTCCTCCGGAACGACTTCACCGATCGTAATGAAATTTGGTGTGTAAATTCTGTAGGTATGCAAATCGGACGTAAACTATTTCCCGTTTCGAAATTCTTAAAAGGGCTCCGCCCCAGTGGCTCTGGAGTTTCCCATGTTAACCTTATGAGAAATGGAATTAATGAATCTTAACAGCTGTTTCAATTAAACAAGTTGGTTCTGTTCTATGATGTTCAATAGCATTAAAGTTACAAGGATTACCAACAGGGTGCAGCACTATTATTTCTTTTACATTTATGACAACAGCTAATTTGCAACCAAAAGGTGAGTGAGCGTAGCGAACGAACTTCAACCTGGAGGCGAGTGAGCGTAGCGAACGAGCTAACCTGGAGGCGAGTTAGCTTAGCGAACGAGCTCCAACCTAAAGGCAAGTGAGCGCAGCGAACGAGCTCCAACCGAAAGGTGAGTGAGCGTAGCGAACGAACTTCAACCAGGACGTGATTGAGCGATGCGAACGAGATCATTTTGAAAATTAAACGTAACGGTACTTTCTTTCCATCGGTCTGTCTTAGGGGAAACCTATAACTTAGGCGATACGAAGTTCGCCGGGTCAGCTAGTATATATATATATGAATTTGAACGGATGGTGTTTTTGGCCTCTAGGGACCTCAAAACGAAAAAAAAAATCGGTCCCGGGTCCAGGTCTTACCATGAGTACTACGGTAATAGCGTATTCCCTATATGGGAAATTCGCTAAAAAATAAATGTTACTCAATTCAAAGATCAAATTGATAAAGCATATTATTCACTTGGAGAATATTTGGAAACCCCTATATAGAGTTGTTAACAACTCATTTATATCCTACTTGAATTAATTTTAATTTTATTTTAACTATTAATTTTATTTTAAAATCACTATGACACACCAATGGTTCTTATATATGAGTTATTGTACTTAATTAAATAGGTAATCTATTTACAGAAGCATTACAGGAAGTACCCCACCTCTCAAGCCCAATCGCCGCCACTGTATAGGCCTACACCTAAATTGGCCAATTGGCGATGCTTTAAAAAACAA